ACTTAGAAATGATAGCATTCTTGTATAGCTTGTAATGACATAAAGGTAATGAATTTTCTCTTCCTTATTTCCTCATCTCAATGGCCAGCATCTCTCTCATGTCAAAAACAGATGTCCAGATGAGGAAATCTTCAACTAGCCACAGGTGTGACATTGGGATCATGAAAGAAGCCTTCACAACAGAGCTAATGGAACTCAAACACAAATGAACCATCAATTCAGAACTGGGTTCAGAGATCCCCAACAGATCCAGTGTACAAAAGCAGTAACAGGTGTGCAGGGCACTATGCCTGATCAACAGCCAAATGCCATCAGCATTGTGTACACTGTGCTAGGCAATGTGCTCAGCTATGGCATGTTACACAATCATAGCCCTGGTCTAGATGATTAAAAAAAGGTGCTTAAAATGGCCTCTAGTCAAGGGGATGTAATAGATTAGGATGAGCTACACTTATAGCATTGTATTACAATACAGCTGCCCTGCAATCTTAGGTTTTAATGAATTATGTCCCAATTATGGGGTGCATTAAATCACTTATCAGAGATACTTCTCATATCCTAGACTCTGCAGATGTCCCTCTGCACCTCTGGGGATCCTTTCTACATCTCATCTGATGTCTCTTTGACAATGGCCCTGCTTGGCCCCAATCCATGGTCTCACTTTTACCTTGGCCTCACACCATCCTTGCCAACATTAACAGGATTGTCTGGACCTCTCACCAATCATGTCTTAACTCATATCTCTCATACATGGCACAATGCATGCACCCCTTTAGCTGGAAGGATATGGGCAGAGTACAAGCAGAGCATACATCTGGCTCATACCAAAACAAAAGCCAACTTGAAATCCATCTCCTTGCTGTCTTTCGTATCTCACATAAGTGTACTGATACAATACTGATGGGCTTCATCACTACCTTTACTTTTCGATTAGCGAACTACCGAGGTAGATTAGTTTATACTTATTTACCTGAGCTGTAATAGCAGAGGTGGCCAATTTACTGTTTCTCCACTTGACGGGTTTCTCTCCGAGTTGTTGCATGATTGAATGGCGCCTGTAGCTGAACTTTTTTCGTGTCCTGCTTCTGATTACTGCTTGATGAACTTCCTGAAGAGACAAAGGCCGCATGCCAGGTATATTCTGACAGCCTGCACGAACTGTCTAGCATAGGGCTTTTGGACGGGAAGCGTGCTACATCGAACAAGGAGATTCTTCAAGGTCATCCAGGTGGGTTCTCGGATGTAACGCCTGCCTGGCTTTGATGAAACTATCGTCTGCATAGGAAGACACCAAAGATCTCCCCATACAAGGCTCGATGGGTCACCACGGAAGACCAGAAAATCTGGTCGAGCTCAGGTATCATCGCCGATAAGGATCCGCCGTAATCAAAGCGGTATTGCAGGCGACATCAGGACTGGACCTGGCGTAGGCATTTCTGGAGCATATCACTGGTGTGTCTGCCTGACTCCAGAGACAGAAGATCTTACTATTGACCCAGAAACCTCCGAAATTGCGTCTCGATCCGAGAATCCCAGAGCATCTCTGCCCCCGCTGTGCACGGGAATATAGACTTTTAGTCAAGTCCTTTTGGAAAGTCAAATAGGCTGTTGGTAAGCAGACAAATATCATGACCATTCGTGCCGTAACCAACGGTGTACATATAGTCGAAGATCCAATATCCTCTCCTGCCAACGATGCAGCCTCCAACTCTTCTTTTCAGTTTCATCCAGCTCGCCGCAATCTCCCTGCTTTGCGTCGCACAGTCCTCTCCTGTGATTGATCTTGGATATGCTAAATATCGAGGAGTATTCGATCCCAGCATATCCAACAACACTCAGTTTCTTGGGGTGCGGTTCGCGGCGCCTCCCACTGGTGCGTGATTTAAGGGCGCTTCCTATATAGCTCTGTTCCCAAGGTACCTTTGTTCAGGCTCCTTGAGGTGGCAAGCACCCCGAACACCGGACTTTGTGGATGCCATACAGGACGCTACGTCAGAACCGGACGAATGTTTGCAAGCAGGAATGGGCACCGGTGCCACAAATCCTTTTCCTGCGAACAAAAGGGCCCCCTCTATTGCAGAATCTGAAGATTGTCTCTTCTTGAAGTGGGTCGCGAACATGTTCTGGCGTCTATTGTAGCTGTCATTTATCTATTCTCAGCGTGTATGTGCCTGGGCAGCTCGATTCTCAAACCTCTGGCAAAAATTTACCTGTCGTCGTATGGATTCATGGAGGAGGGTATGGTGCTTTACTATTTATCCAGGGGTCTTATCTGAATGTGACTACAGTTATGTTTTTGGTGGCGCCGACCCTTACGATGGGAACGACCTAGTCCTTGAATCTGGCGACAAAGTCGTTGCCGTGATTATCCAATATCGTTTGGGACTGTTTGGATTCCTGGCTGGAGAGTCAGTTAAAGCAAATGGCGTATTGAATGCTGGCCTTCGTAGGTTCTGTGTCTGCCGTTGGGTACGCGCTGACATTTCTGAGGCAGTGGATCAACAATTTGCGCTTCAGTGGGTCCAGGAACACGTGAGCTTTTCCTTTTTCCTGCATCTGCTTTGCCGTCATACTTACCGATCCGTCGAAGATCACCAAGTTCGGTGGAGATCCAAGCCGAGTCACTATCTGGGGCGAATCTGCTGGTGGGAATTGCGTGTATTCAATAATCTATCATCTGATGTAGTCGTATTCTAGGTGCTGGTTCTGTTCTTCAGCAGGTCATTGCCAATGGTGGACAGACGTTTCCGCCTTTGTTCAGAGCTGCAATAACAAGCTCTAGTTTCCTGCCTTCACAATATGCGTATAACGATGTGGTTCCGGAGGTTCAGGATCTCCGTGCAAGTTAGAATTATACGAGGTGCTGACATGTATGTTCTAGTTCCTGTACAACACCGTGGTGTCAAGGACGAAGTGAGTGCTCGTAATTTTAGGCTGTTGCATTGATCTCTAAAATCGTAGGCAAGCTGTACCTCGGCGGCCGATTCGTTGACATGCCTGAGGAATGCTGACGCAGGGGTTCTCGAAGAGATCAATGTTGACCTTTGTACCAGCGGGTTTTTCGGCACATTCGTATTTGTGCCAGTTGTTGATGGAGATTTCATAAGGCAGCGGCCGACGGTAGCTTTGGGGGAAGGAAAAGTCAACGGCGTAAGCTAGCAGCCACTGAGTTTTTCGATGGTCTCTAATCATCCTTCAAGGAGGTTGTCATGTCCGTTACAAACTCAGATGAGGGGCTCGTATTCGTCGACTTGAGTACTGCAAACACTGTCCAGGTTCCTGACTATCTGACACAACTATTTCCGACCCTGAGCGCTCAGCAACGCGACGTTGCCGTTGCAAAATACGCTAGTCTTGGAACTCCAATCGAGCAGGTCACCGCTATAATGGGAGAATGTAGGTGTAATGCCTCAGAACCTGCGATGGCGGATACTAATGCCTGACCTTTGTTGCGGCAGCTATATTCGTTTGCCCCACTTATTTCTTGCTTCGTGCTTTCAAAGGAAAGGCATTCAAGGCATGTTCAACCACTCTGTGAATGAATGCAGTGATGTTCAATGTCGGATACTCAGGGTCAATTCGCAATCCCGCCGGGCACCCACGGAAGTGATGTTGTTTATTACTTTCCCTCGTACGTGCATTGCTATAACATCTTTACTCGTGTTCTCATTCCTTCCATTATGAGTGCGAATGATGTTCCCGCCTACAACAATACGGACTTCGACAAAGCGTTCGCCGAGTCTTTCCTAGCCTTTGTCGTGTCTCTGGATCCAAACGAGACATTCGAGCCGACAATCACACCGACATGGGAGCCTTTTTCGTTCCAACCAGGTCACGAGGTAGAAATGCGTTTCAATGAAACCGAAAGCGGCGCTCCTGCAGTGATGCCCTTTACCACTGCATCAGATCTTCTTGACCGATGCTCGTGAGTGCACCCGCCGCGTTTCTTAATCTTTCTCACCGGTTCTTTTTTTTTAGTTTTTGGGAAAGTGTTGGGCCAGAAATAGGTCAATGAAACGTGTTCGTCAATTATATTATTAGTTATGTGTGATTTACTGTCCAAATCAATCTTAAACACACATGGATCTCTCTCCGCACTTCTCTTCAAAGAAATTCTCGGTTAATTGGCATAACGCTCTACGAGACATACCATTGGAAGGAATGGCGTCTATCGATGGCATTGTATGCAGTAGGAACACGGCCACTCGCCCCAGATGAAATATCTATATCTTATGCCAGGTCGTCAGACTTTACGTGGAGAGATTTTGTCTTTTCGACTGTAGAAGTGACGGTGACGGGTTTTGTGTTTCGTCTCTACTGTGGCTTGGCTCCTTTCACTGATAACTCAGACAAGTACACTAGTATACTTTTGGTGTCATTGAGCTAGAGTTCTGGTGCCTAGCGGCGTCCAATATCGCTGCCTGTCAGTCAACCACTCCGACATCGATATGGCAATCCGTCACTCGGACCGAACCTCAGATCCTACACGATCGATCGATCGGTTCTCATCGTGTCAAATGAGCTTCCTACTTCTTAACTCGATTGGTTTAGTGCTCAACGTCCTTCGGTTCAGCGAGGAATACATTTCTCATCTGTTAGCAGTCACCGGGATGCGGATCGATGAGCATCCCTTTACATTCAGATACAGACCTATGGATATATATATGTTCCTTTGGGTTCTCCATAATGATGAGCTGCTAACAAATGGTCATTTAGATATCCTCATTGTGAAAAGAATTGCTCCTGGCCAAACGGACCAGGCTTTTCTCATGAAGAAAAATGTCATGGAGAGATACAAACTATATCGGTACTTGAAGAAATTCGATATCTGGAGGTATACGCTGGTGTGATTCCCAAGTCGGTCAACTTCATCGTCCAGGCGCATCTCGGTCCTGACCACGCGCAGAATAAAGCAAAGAATCATCACCCACATTTAACCATGATTCCTCGTCGATTCAGCAGTTTCTAGATCCAAGACATAGTTTAAAATGCACATCACATCGTCATCGTGTTGCAAAAAAATAGCAGTATGGATGGTACTTTAATAGCTAGGCGTTATGGTGAAAGTGAGAGATACAGATGTACACAATAAAAGCATACTATTAGATGAATCGTGAAAAAAAATGCAATAAATGAGAAATGAATGATGGGGTAGTGTCGTGAACTCGTGGAACTAAAACAAAGATACTATGAGGGGTTTTCGGACCCCGACGTACCAGGCCTAAGCTTTCGTAGCCCCCTCCGTATTGAGAAGCCATGATGTGGACCATCAGAACTCCTCTTCCCGTCCGCGCTCTTCTTGCCTGACTTATGCCGACTAGCCGTCCGAGAAAATTCAGTAAGGTTGCGACTACTCGTCCTCCTCTCCGATAAATGGCTCTGCATCCTGCTCATAGCCACTCCTCCTTCCTCAGTGGCAAAATCGAATCCACGATGCACCGACCGTATACCAGTCGACATATCTGTCCGACTGGCCAACCGAATGTCCGCGCCTGAATGCACTCCAGGCCTCGACGGTCCAGCAGTCATGGAGGCGTAACTCGACCGAGACGTCCGTCTCGAAAGAGCGTCATCCCCTTCAAGCGGTCTCTTCATGGCTTTCAGGCCAATACCATCCTCCTGATGTACACTGTACAAATCTCGGCCCGGGTCGATCTTTCGTATGTACCGCAGGATGTCAATGTCGTCAGGTGCGAATCCGAACTTCCATGCTTTCGCGATGTACCGCGGCGCCAACGAAACGCATACGGTAATTGGAAGCGCGAGCCAAAAGAGTGCAGACCTGAAGAGGAAGGTGTTGTTACCATAGACAAGAGTTACGAACCATCCAGGGGAGATGGCGTTATAAACGACCTGTAAGCAGGTAAGCGAGGGATTTCCATATGAGTAGGGATATCCACGTACCGTGTACAACCACAGAAGAATAATACCAATGAAGACAGCGAAGAATACCCAACCGGTCCAGACATTAGTATTCAAACCGTTGAAAAGGTTGGCAACAATGACGGCAGAGAACACCATGGTCTAAAAGGTGGTCGGTCAGTCGGATTATAATGCTTATATAACTGATGGCTTACGGTTGAGAATTCCTGAAGATGTTGGTCGTAGCCATCAGTTCGTGAAGTAGGGGAAAAGTAACCGTAGAGAATGATGAAAAATATGATGGCAGACTGGAGACAAATCAACGATGTAGCTGATCAGACGTAGTAGGTGACATACCTGATATACACCGTCGAACATATAGACAGTAAACCACTTGAGACCGAACCATTTCCCTTCACGTCCGTAACGATACAACTCGGGGATAGCCATCAAGACATCCGCGTCTATAATCTTGCGTTAGACAGACTGATCTAGAATGTGAGAGCAACCAAATACCTATTAATCTATCGAAAATACCAATGGCAATAACAGGCGCAAGAGTCCAGAAAGAATTCCAGAACAGGAGATATGTATATTCAAATACACTAAACCAAAAATCTGGTCAGTTCCGCAACCGAATAAAGCAAAGAGAGAATCCTTACTAGTTAGAGCTCCAACCGCAATAAATTTGGAACCACCAAAGAACGCCAATACAAACAATGTTCTTGTAGAAGAAATTCAGAATCCTTTAATAGGCATCAGAAAAGGACCATGGTCAGAAGATATGCGCAGCGTACATGTTTCCATTGCGAGCATATGACCAATGCCCATGAACAAAAAGCAACCGTTTAAGGAATCGGAACTGTCGACTGATTAGCGCGCGCCAATTATAATGACTGAGCCTGTACGTACCTGCGCTATAGCATAGTCCGACGAGTTCACTGCCTGCAACCCTTCTTCACCAGAAATCCCAACACCAACATCAGCCGCCTTTGAAACAGAGATCAGCGAACGAAGGTATAAATGATGCACGAGTGGTTACGAACCTGGATCATGCTAACGTCGTTCGCGCCATCTCCGATAGCCAAAGTCATAGCACCGAGGCCATCCTTGACCAGCCTGACGATCAAGGCTTTTTGCAGAGGGGATACACGACAGCAGATCACACCTTCGCAGAGCATTGCGAGCCGCAGGAGTAAGTTTTTGTGTTCTTCATCACCCAAAGCCTGAAATAAAGGTTAGCAAGGATACACAAATAGAAACGACGGTACTTGCGTAGTCCAGCGCCGTGCCATCGATGACCAGAACAAATCCGCCAGGGCGATCGCCATTGTTTGCTCCTACAATCGAAGATATTCCAGTCTCGACCCTCCGCAATGCATTATCGTCCCTAGAAGAGACAGATGCCAACTGCTGTTCTTTCACAAAGCTTTCTCCTTCGTCAAGAATGCCACTTTCGGGGAAAAACTCCTCTACCGCATGAACCATCTGCTGATAGACAGGCCTTGAATGATGATTTCCGCCCCTAATAACAATGATGTTGGACTCTCGACCGATTAGGTTGGTACTGTGTCCGATGGCTATAAAACCATGTCAGCAAAAAGTCAAGGGAAAGGCGGTGAAACCTACCAATAGCTGTTTCTAACTTGTCGCCAGTCGCTACCCATACCTTGATACCGGCACGTTTAAGATCAGCAATAGTTTCCGGTACCCCGTCCTGCAGACTATCTTCGATAGCTGTAGCACCCAACAATCGTAAATCATGTTCCAGCTCGTCCGAAACCATTTCAATACGGGCCTCCCGGTTATCGAGTGCTACGGTAGCCTCATGATAACGTTCGCTCCAAGCAGCATATTCGTCCTCTGTAACCCGTATCAGTGGACGGATAACATCTGAACAAGAAAACTCTCACCGTTGATGACTTTGTATGCAAGAGTCAATGTCCTCAATCCTCCATTGGCAAACTCGCTCAGATGCGTCTCGGTCAACTCTCGCAAACTCTCATCTCCACTTTTCCGTAGTCGCTCAAAGACGACATTATCAGCCCCTTTCATCAATAGGAACAGTCTGCCGTCTGCATCGTCCAGTTTCCTCAGCACCACACTCATCCTCTTCCTGGCACTGGTGAACTCGAGTATATTGAGGAGCTCATAGCGTTCGACGTCGTCCGGGCCGGTGGACAAGGGCGTTTGCAAGGTCAGAATCTCCCTGTCACGGCCGCGGAAAACATATCCAAGATCCGCCGCTGCACGTACCAGCGCCGCTTCATCCGGACTTTGTGCCTTGTATTCGATCTTTCGTGTTTCGGGATTGATGGAGGTAAGGACAGTATGACACAAGGCCAGAACCGAGAAGAAGCCGTTCAAAGCCCGTGCATGAGCAGCATTTCCCGACGTCGAGCTTGACTGCAGAGCAGCAGCGATGTCTCTCTCCAGTGATTCACAGTGAAAGTGTGTTTCTGCAGTCATTTCTGTTCCGGGAGTCGGCTCGGTAATAGTTGCTGAAGATCCTTCAGCGCTGGCGCCGGCGGCATGATCATCTGCCGAGATGGCAGCCTGCGATGCCGGCGGAGTTGCTTCATGGATGTCACCAGCGTACACCTGACCAACGTACACTTTACCACCGATCGAACATTGTCGAAATATCATAGAGTTCTGAGAGTGTCATAAGAAGCAGACAGACGATATATGGATAGAATGACGTACCTGAGTTAAAGTCCCTGTCTTATCTGAAAATATGTATTCTATCTGTCCAAGATCGTCAGACAAGTTCCACGTCCGAGCGAGAGTGGGTTGGTTTGTCTTTGGGTACCAGATTTCGTAGTCGAAGTATATGAAGGCTGCTTGGCATGTCCTGACGAATTCGATGGAAATGTACAGTGAAATGGGAACGATGTTTTGGAACGTGATAAGAGCGAAAGCCCAAGTGACGAGACCGTTGATGGAAGGGTTATCGCCACCTCGGTTGTCATCGTAGAGCCATGGCGCACCTTCAGGATACATTTGATGTTCCAAGACAGAATCAGCGATAGCACAGGCAATGGCCATGCATGCAAGTATTATCAGATTGATAAATCTTTTCATTAGCTGTAAGCGCGCCGAATGCCAGTAAATTTCTGACCGACTTACACTTGGGGGTTCATTTGCCTTTCCACCTTGCTCCTCTTGCTGGGCGTTCCGCCTGAGTTCTGTATGATCTTTGTGTCCTCTCCCGTGAATATAACGAGCCCAATAACCCAGCCAGTGTTCCTCAGGACCGTTCCTCTCAAAAGCGTCATCTGGATATCCGCCGGAGCCTGTTCACCATCTGCGCTTATCGTGGAATTTAAACGGAACATATTGTTGTCCGGACGGTCCAAATTGACGGCGAACTTGCTCTCCGTGCATGCTTTAGCCGTCCTCAAATGTGTCAGAGATGGAACGGCATTCCGCGATTTGAGATTGGTTTCTCCATCCAAGTTCTTGGTCTCGACAAACGCGACATTCTCGTCCTCGGATGTCGCGCATATGAGAATGTCGGCGGGTAAGGGCTCGTTGTCTAAGATTTTCACAAAATCACCGACACAAACATCTTCCCAAAGCGCCTTCTTCCAATGAGGGTTATTGTAAGTTTGATGGCCGAAGAGATGGAGGCGGTGACGAGGGTGATCGGTGCCATCGTCAAACTCGATATCAGGTGGCGGTAAGACCGGCGAAACTGGGGTTGAGGACTCTAGACCTTCCTTCCCTTCGACCTTTTCCGCAAGTGGAGTGGGCGGTGCCGTTTTCCTGAACTTTTCAGGGATAAGGAAGCGGTTTACATGGTGGGTGAAATCACGAGTCTTGTTGCCGGTAATGTTGGCATTATGCCAATCACCTCCAGCGAGAACGCGAACAGTGCCGCGGTTTACGCGGCCATCGGATTGGTGGCGCTTGATGTCCTCGTAAGCATCCTTTATAGCGGTAATCCCGAGAACGATGAGAAGAGGAAGAATAACGAGGCCAGGGGAAATGGTGGAGAACTTGGGAAAAAATTGCAGGATGGCAATTCCAAGGAAGAAACTGAACAAAGGCTTAGGGAATTCAAACAAGATCAAAAAGAAGAGAGACGTACACATTCGCTACTCGCCTGAACTGCTCAAGCAAATTTCGCGGTAGAAAGGTAACAACATTATACTTCGAAGTGATGACCTGGTTCGATGCATAAACATGCTCCCCCTTTATCCGCCCCTTCTTATCATAATAGTCTTCCGGTAGGCTCTCATTGACAAACACGGTCCGCTTCGGTCCAGGCGTCTTCTTCTTCACGAAAAGAGTTTCGATGTTGAAGGCCGCCACTTTCTCATACCAGGCCGCCAGGCCGCTAAACATGCCCCGTTTCAACATTGCGGCCTCACGATAGTTTTGAGGGGGTCGTAACTGTGTTCGTGGTCGAAGAAAGGAGCAGATGGCGGTGAAAACGGCAGTCAGAAAGTCATGACAGATGCAGATGATAGACTGGAAAGAGTAGGAGCGAACGGTACCGGCCGTGCTGACCGTGCTGATGCCTTCGCGCCCACGTAATGAATTCGTCATTGGCCCTGAACACAACAAAGCCAAATACCTCCGAGATCGGATGCCAAGACGTCCAACGATGAGCAGAAGGACTACTGTTCAGCAGAGGGAAAAGGAGCGAGGAAAGGCGACCACCACCAGCCGCCTGTCTCTTTTGTGTACTTTGGTCTGACCCACACCTCTAGCCTGCTGTTCATTTAATTGGCGGCACCATGTTTCACTCGGGGTACCGTCGCGTATCAGCGTTCGCACAAGGATAACCTGCGCCCGCTGCAATCGAATTAATTGTTGTTCTTGTCAAAATATATGCCGTATAAAATGCCGTATAAAGGGGCCCTTCTCCCCGACTTGCTCGAATTCTCGATGCCAAATACTGTACTTCTCCTATGCGGAGAACCCGGGAACCTCTTTGATTCGCTGATCGATGCCCCGATGAACCGAAGATTCCGTAAGCACTCATCCCGGACATGTCCCGCATTAGTCAGCATGGTTAGTCATCATGTCATGCTCAGATCTAGATCCAACATACGGTCTCTGTATATAGAGTGATCGGCGTCTAGGTCTAGGTTTGGATCCCTTCGAAGTGGACTCTTGTTCAACTCCAATTCTCACTGGCTTCCAAGCTTCGTTGCACTATACACCGAACCATCAAGGCTTTCCAGGTTTGTATTTGCTGGTATCCAAGTCTTGGGATTCACCACCAATCGTAAAATTAATGAACCCTCCAGGAAATTCGGACCAATTGAAAGGTGTTCTGTTCACAGCATTGATTGTTCAGTTTGACAGTAGTCAAATTGACTACTATCTGGCTTCATTCAAAACCTTGCTACGATCCTAGCCTTATTAAATGGAGGTAAACAATCTTTTTTTCTAATTATCCTTGTTCCGGGTATCATATTGCTTAAATTATACATCATAGGCCACCCCTTCTCCTGTACTCTGCGAGCTTTCAAGTCTAGTTCAGCGATGTACCGACACAGACCCTCTAAAAATTAGCTGATACACTTTTCCAATCATCACATCGCGCATCGAGGTATCATCAACAAGAACGAGTAGACAGATGTAATTCTTAAGCCCTATCTTCCTTCTACACTTCAATGTCCCGTCTTCAGCCATACTGAGTCTTTTATACTTCGTGATATTTTTTGTAGGACGAGAAGAATGAAGAACTGGCCGCTTCAGTTCTCCCTGCTGTCTGGATACTTGCCAGCCCTCCCACTAGCAGATCTTCGGCTGAACTCGAGTCAAACCGCAAGGCTTCACACCAAAGGTTGCTTCTCCTACCTCTCGGCCGTAATGCGCGATGCAATTGGTTGATACAACCTTTCACTAGCTCGAAATTTCAAAAAGCCCCAAAGACGAAGATATGGCCTCCTCCACCACCGTCGACTGCGCTGCCAGAGACAATACTCAGAGGACTTTGAAGGTACAGCTATTCCCTCCGCCACTCGTGTTTATCTCAATATTTCACCAGCCGAGGCACATTCAATTAATTGGGATTGGCGGTAGGTCCCTTCGTCAAACGGTTGGAGAATAACTGGGGGCTGAAACCTTTCTCTATAGGTACCATAGGAACAGCTCTTTTCGTCCAGATAGGCTCTGCGCTGCCGCATGGCGGTCCTGGAAGTCTCCTCTTAGCATTCGTAGTATGGGCAACGGTCGTCCTAGCTATCAATTCCTGTCTATGTAAGAACTTTCCTTTAATACCCTTCAACTCAGCTGAATCGCCGTCTTATGTTGCAGCCGAACTCGTCACTTGGGTACCAGTCTCATCTCCGTTCGTAAGTTCGCAGCACCTCCAAAGAATATGTTCCGGATACATACCCTACTTATTAATCCAGTCTCAATGCGCAGATCGCTATGTGGATCCCGCTCTCGGCGTTTGTGTAGGAATCAATTTTTTCATCCAGATGGCCATGAATGTTCCTTTCGAGATCACAGCCTTCAACTTGATGCTAAGGTATTGGACGGAAAAGATTCCCACAGCCGCGGTCATTGTCTTCGTTCTAATAACTTACACGTGGGTACCATCATAACTTCGTATACCGCTCTTCTTCCATTCTGAAAACCCTGCTTAGTTTACTTAACATTTTTACTGTCAAGTACTATGGAGGTGAGTCGCACAACTTCCAAGGATCTCATGGCGACTGAATGTATGCCATAGAGGCGGAATACTGGCTGGCTATAGGAAAGATCATCCTCATCCTCGGTCTGTTCATGTTCACGTTCGTCACGATGGCTGGAGTGAACCCTATCCATGATCGTTACGGCTTTCGGAACTGGGACCGTAAGTAACCCACTAGCAGCAGCCATTTTTATATATTGATCTTAAGGTACTACTACTACTAGCTTCCAAAGTCCCTGTGAGCTAGCGCTTCTCTCCTACACCATACAGCTCTCATCATCCCACAGGGAACCCCATTCGCGACTTACGTCCACTCCGGATCGCTCGGACACTTCCTCGGATTCCTCCGTTGCCTAACCCAAGCAGTCTTCACAGTAGGAGGTACGTACCATCCACTCACAATCACCGCCCGCGGCCTTCCAAGCTAAACTCCCCCGCCCCCAGGACCCGAGTTGGTGGCGATGACTTCTGGCGAGGCGGAGAACCCCCGGAAGGTCTTACCCCGCTCTTTCAACGCAGTGTTCTACCGACTCGGGACGTTCTTCATCGTCGGTGCCTTCACTGTAGGGACGATCGTTCCTTACACCGACCCGAAGCTGGCTTTGGCCTCATCTGGGAAGCGCACTGGCGCAGCTGCGTCGCCCTACATTATCGCTATGGAGACCTTGGGCGTTCGGGGATGGGACCATCTGGTCAATGCACTAATAATACTGTCCATATTCTCCGCAGGGAACAGCTATGTTTATTGCGCCAGCCGGACCCTCTATGGTCTTGCGCTCAATGGCCATGTCTCTAAAGTTCTTTGCCGCTGCACCTCATCCGGCGTCCCAATTTACTGCGTCGGCATCACGATAATAGTCGCCTTCTTGTCCTTCCTTCAGGTTTCGGAAAGCGGTAGCGTGGTCTTGCAGTGGTGAATGGCTGGGTTCATCGAGAGGACTTTCGTGAATGACTTGACGTCGATATAGGTTCACCGATATTTCCACGGTCTGCCAAACCGTTAATTACGCTGCGATATCTTTCACTTATATCTGGTTCTACAGGGTGAGCGGTCAAGAATATATATATATATCTTCCAAGCTTATGTCCCTTCACAAAGGCTCTCAAGTTCCAAGGAATATCCCGAAACTTGCTTCCTTGCCGATCCAAATGCCAGCCTTACCTAGCGTGAGCTACCATCTCATATATATTTCATTGATACTTATGAGATACCCTGCAGATTTTATTCACTATTCTGTTCCATCACAATGATGTTCGCAACAGGATTCACGGTATTCCTTCCTGGCCAGTGGAATACAACAACGTTCGTGTTCTCGTACATACTGGTCGTCGCCCTACCCATCCTCTTCGGAGTCTACAAAGTAACCCGACGTACAAAGGTGCGCAGCCTCGAATATTTCAGCACGTTTTCTGACAGTGACAGTGGCGCAAGCAGTGGAGGCCACCCGGTGCTATTTCCTTCTTTGACGAGGAACGAAAGGTCGTCGACGATTATGAGAGATCGTTCTTCCTTCAGAAAGAAGTTGAACTAGAGATTGGTCCCTAAGGCTAGTAACTAAAGCAGCCAGGACGGATATTGACGGATTGAGAGACGAAGTTATCTTGCAATATGTTAGGCTCGGTTTGATGCTATACACACTATGGCCTGCGATTGCAAGAAGATTTAGCGAAATAAATGAGAGCGTATTCACGCTGTCTGCACAATAAAGGCTACCTTCACAAAGGCGCAATCCTGCGCCTACTTCCAATCACAGAATCATTCCTTTGATAGATCAACATTGGAATTCATTTCTCAAGAGCACCGACACGAACAACGGTATCCAAGTTACCCCACATCAACGAAATGCACCGACAATCCATTGAACTTATAACCAAGTCTTTTTTCAACCCTGCTGACCATCGGCGCCCAACAGCACCTGACTTCACACACTTCTATACCTCGCCTCATATCCTATTGCCGCCATACCCCCAACCCACTGCGTCGATGGCGTCGCATTTTTTTTGTTCAACGACGTTGCAAGGGTCACGGTCCAAAGGCCGGCCATCACACATCATCATCCATGCCACCGTTTCCCGTCCCCGCCCCCAAGCCATACTCCTCATCTGAATCCATCACCTTCCCTCCACCTCCAAAATACGCCGACGTCATGCGCATGGACAACGCATCTACCAGTCGCCAGAGCGAGGAGACGTGCGCGCATGATAGACCATATGCCACAGAAGTTCCTCAAGCTAAACTCCGCCCACAACCATCATTCGATGACATTCGTTGTATGCAGCCTGACCTACCTTGGGAAGAAGTGATGAAAAGGGCTGGGAACATCGACCAGTCTGCGCTAGCCAGAGATATGATTTCCCAGCAAGGGCCGGAGAGGTTAGAGGCGTCGCATGGACCATCAATTGGTTGCCTGTCTCCTCAGTCGGTGGTGGCAATTGTCAACTTACCAGAGTCGATACATACATCCTTTAACCAATCATCGATGAATGCAGAAGAGGCAATGATCTCTTCGCTGCTTTGGTCTCCTACCAAAGACAAAAACAGTGAAGAGCTCAAAGCCTTTGCCACACTCATCGCGGTGTGGTTGCATGCAACGATCACAAATGAATCCAGAACAGAAGTGACCACTGATTCGGCGAGGTGAGCACCATGACCACTTGGTATAGGCAGCATGAACTCACAGTAAATGATAGGTTCTGAAAAGCTTGGTCGACATTTAGCGAGACAGTCATTGTCACCCAAGCGATCATGGAGACACTGACATTGGATAACATCACAGTATTCCATAGCCTGGTATATATCAGGAGACTATTTGGAAGTTGCTACATCCATGAGGAGGACACCTACCGTTCTCGCCCGAGTATTCTTCATCGGGTGTTTCCTGGGCTTTAAGTATTGTCAAGACATCTATTCGACGAGGCTCTGGTAAGCATTAAGCATATATTCTATGATGCATGAGGCTCACACTTCTTTCAGGGCTTTAGCCATGGACATTGACAGTCGTACAGTGGAAAAAGTCCGCCGCCATGCTTTGCATGGCCTTGGTTACAGACTTGATATATCACTGAACGACTGGAAAGCATCCATCGAAGACTTGCATCGGTTTGCAGCCGCCTGCTCCTTCCCGAGTGCAAACATCTACACACGAACGGTTGTCAGCGACATCCTTGACAAGCTCAAGATCAACGCACCTCCAGGCATTCCTCTGAGAGCAAGAAGAGGCTATAGTAGACAAGGTACTATCGAGCCGCCATCACTCACCGACACTTTGGGCATCTTCATCGGCACGGTGTATAGCCCAAGAATTGTCCCGAAAGCGGCGGAAGTGCACCACCCTGCCGCGCCATGCGATGTACAGGAGAACCCTATCGTCGGACACAACACGATGCTGATCGGACAGCACATAGGTCCTGATGAGCAGATGCCCGTGCGCCGGTGCAGCATCCTGGGATTTGGAATAGACGGAGTGACCCTGTGGATGGTTGGATGGCCGTAGAACAGCGCATAGGGCCGAATGCACAGTTCCTCGGCAAGCGGGGATATTCCGTCTCGACGTGGACGACTTGATTTGGAATAATCAAGTCGTCCTGGCCTGGTAATTCGCAGCACATACGGCTTAACGGCGTTCTTCACTGCGCAGGAGCACCCTGACATGATTGAGGGTTATAGAGAATAACCTTACGGTCCGGTGTAGTGCTGCAACGGTGGCTGGACGACGTATAAGATCGGACACGCAGTTCCTTGAGACGCAGAGGCACGGTTCTGTGTCTTGGAATGCCCAGGATCACCGTATGATCTGGCAAGCCGATACGAGGATGTTCGGACAACGAAGAGTGATTGGCAGCCTGTTCTTCAAAGGCGCCAACGAGACAAATATCTGGGCTCCACAAGGGGATTCTGAACCTGAATATCCTGGCAACAGAAGGTCTGTGCCGCAAGGAAATCGCGTAAGCCTCTCATCAGCGACAAGGCTCAGGGTAAAAATCAAAAGACATACTATGGACAGTAGTGTCATTCATGAGACTCGAATGCGCTTCAGTCGACCGCATGTCATTGCTATCGTCGATGTCGGACGATACTGCTCGTCGACCAACCAACAACGTATACCATACATTTTAGAGCCACAGAAAAGTATACATCCTTATCGCACTATCAGCTATCATGAAGCTTGAAGGCAGCAGTATTGCCAAGGATGACGCTTACCTTCCGGAAGTCACCATTATCGCTGTCCTTCTCGTCGTGTAGTATAAGATATCAGAACAGAGCTGACGAGTCCCCCAAGTCTGCATGAGTGAGAGCTAGCCAGTGAGACAGGAAGAAGAGCGACCTCGATGAACGGCGACGAGATCGATGGATGAAAACAAGAGAGATGACCAAATTTGGCAAAGTGACATATTCGTTCTTTACCACCAGAACAAGGCCCACCGATGTCATCGACGCCCTCCACCGTTTCTCCTCCTCCAGAAGAGGTCAATCTCAGCTCTGATGCTCACTCTACCACACCCCATATCCTCGACATGGTGACCTCAACGCTGAGCCCCAGTACTTCAAAGCGCTGCCTTTCCGGGTAGTAGCAAGATAGACGACATTCGTCGACTTGGTGTCACGGAAAGTCACACGTGACTAGATGGCAGCGAATGTCTGATAGTAGATCCAGCCGCGATACAAAATCCAGGAGACGCAAAGGCACTCGGAGACTGATGGTTGGGGGTTCGGCAGCATGGGCATCGTCAAAGAAGGAGGACATGACTGACGTCCAGACCGTCGAAATGCTACGAAAGGGTATGTCACCCTTCCAATGTCGCCTTGACTTTCACTGACCAGCAATATCGTTTTCATTGCCAGAAATTGGAGATCCATTTCTTGTCTCAGGTTCGTTGGTTGTTTTGCTCGTAAGTTTGAAACCGAAAATTCGAACAGCACTCGTCTCAGACATGACCGAGTCAGACCGACAAGGGTCCCCTGGCCATATTAAATAGTATAAAGGAAGGCTGTCACCCTGGACAGACCTTAAGCGACGGACAAGATGGTGTCCTTTCGTTGGTTCACCCGACTGCTCCCTACCATCCTTTCCTCCACCACAGTGCTGTCCGACGATGATATGTTCATCTTCTTTCAACCGCCTCAGCCGGGCAGGCTCATCACGACGATCCTTCTCAATAATACCATGCCCCCTTTGGATTCCCTTTGGGAAGGACTCGGAAATATCCATGTCGAAAAGGTCGAATACCGTAAATCCTACTCACCTGGTAATCCTCTGGGGCATGAGTACCTGGTGGTGACCGTGAAGGAATCTATAGGTGCTAGGCGGAGCGGGCACCTCTTGGTAGACTGGATCGGCAGGGGCAGGCCCAGGGCCAAGACCACCACTGACACCAACACAACACTGTCGACACCACCTTCATCGAATGACAGCTCTGATACAGCCGAGGACGACGCACAGGCCACCCCTCCCACCTCTGCTCCTGCGACTCGTGCGACTCGTGCTACTCCTGCTAACCAGTGGGAAACCATTAACCGCTTTCACCACGCCATTGCCAGGATCAAGAATTTCAGAAAACGGATCGAGAATTTTAGTAAATGGGATCCTGTCGATGTCTTTGACAAACTCATCATCTTGAACACCATTGATGAGGCCTTTGACGTCCAGGGACGGTATCCCTATGATGTTCTGATGACCATGGATCTCAGCCTAGGACAGCGACCCATCACCTTGGAGCATTTCCTCCTCCTCTCTAAGACCACCACGAAGGACACCATTGCTTCCCCCTTCATCTATGCGCAATGTTCTTGGTTTGCTCATACCATCCGGACTGTTCTCCAGTTGGAGACAGGTGCACCTATACAGAATGTAACCAATCTTAGGCACCGGGGTATGATGGCGATGGGTAGGCAAGCTCCTGTGAGAGGCGATGATAAGTTGAAGACACCAGAGACTGTGAAGGTAGAATGGGAACAGGCAAAGGTTGTCGCTGACAAGGAATGGGAAGCATTGCGACAGGTCAGCTTGTTCTTCAGATGCACAGTTTTTTTTTTCGTGATGCATTTATCAGGCATTCCTTGCTTCAGAGAGGCCGCCGACCAAGAACGTGCAGCTCGCTGAAAAACACTGAGCTTCGAGCGATGTTGGCAAGGCAACAGCACCCTAGTGGTAATGCGTAAAGGCACTATTTCTCTCTCAGTCGTCGCGCGCGTCATCTTGTAATGCTACCTCGTCTTTCTTTCTGTATTTGAATTGTTTCTGAAATATGAAAAACATGTCATCTTTTCGTGTCCCGACGATAAGTACATATAATGTACTGTAAAAGTATAGTTCGAGACACAATCGAGGCAGGTCGTGCAGTGGTATCTCGACATATTTCTCAGTCATCGTTCCTGTTGCTCGTTCTTGGCACAACTTCGCAAGTCTGAGTTGCACGTGCTTACCCCGCCACAGCCCTTTCCGTGTTTTGTTTTCGCCCATCATCATGTCTACGTCACCCGAGCGTTCTCCCCCTTCTTCAGTATCGGACTTCATCGACATCAATGGCTCAGAAAACGGGTCGGATGCTGTGGCCTCCACCGTTGTCGAAGAAACGGCTCCCTCGGGTACGACTATAGTTGCGGAAGACTACTACGAACACAAGGCCGTGGAAAAAGCAGAGGGAAAACCAAGCGAAACAGTTGAAGACGATGCTAGATCACTCAAGAGTTCGTCGCCTTCTGTTTGTGATAGCGACATCACTATCACACCCCAGGACGTTGCAGGCTCGTCCGCGCCTTTCGATCCCACTAGCTCTCACAGTTCAAGGAGGAAGAAAAACGCGCGGAAGGGCATCAAGCCGTCTGTATATGACCACCCTCAGGAGGAAGGGGTATCTTTTGCCTCGGATGTTATGGTCTTCGGTAGCAAGAACGAGGCGAAACGACGTGAGTCGCATAATTTGCCTTGGAACTTCTCTCTTCTCATCCCTTGCTTTCCAAGGCGTCGTATTTCCCGCGGAGATGGTCGACATGTCGTTGAACAAATCCATCGATGGGAGCTTCTCCTTTCAGAAGGCGTTCGGCGAGGGAGACTTCATCGCTGCTGGACATCTTCAAGTTTCCAGCCAGAAGCCCGTGAAGAGCGCCAAGGACAACGCTTATGTATGCCCTACCTCCATCCATTTCTGCCCGCTCGCAATTGAACATTCCTAGATATTCTATGTCATTGAAGGTGTTGTTAACGTCAGAATACACCAGACATACCATACCGTGAGCGCTGGCGGGATGTTCATGGTGCCTCGAGGTAAGCCACCTCTCTTCGCTGTCTCGAGGGGGATATGTCTCATTACATTAGGAAACACGTACTCCATCGAAAACGTATCCGACAAGCCGTCAAAGCTAGTGTTTACCCAGGCGCGCGAGTCGACCGTATCATCTGACGGTGATGATCCAATGAGGCTGGATCGCAAACCTCGCCTCCCACACGAATTGACCACATCCAAGGCTTTCATATTGTTAGGGTGGCTCTTTGAGCGCTTCTTGAAGCGATTCGCAGTCTATCGAAAGCTGTTGTTGATTTGGTCGATGCGGGCGCGGTTCGTGTTCCACCAACATATGCACGGTGGAAGAGCTTATGCCCTCTTCTTCGTCCTCGGGCTTTTATTGCGGAGCATGCCCTTCCCCGGGAAGTCGAGTTTGACTCCACCGCGCATTAACGTCCAATTCATACGTGACGCATCGCGTTCATAGTGGATACACTATAGGCAGAGAATTGCTATTCGACTCTTAGACCGACTGTATTTTTTACTATACCTGTATTTACCAGTTTCTCTGATCTTAAGATAAAAAGTTCGCCATTAGCAAAAAGTTCATGAGTGGTAGGTAATCAAAAAATGTGTTAGGATTCTAATACCCTCGTCGTAGCCGGGCATTCTCCTCTCGAAGCCGTCCGTTCTCTTCTCTCAAATCCTTCAAGTCGCCCACGCACTGCTCCATTATGTCTCCAAGTTCTTTACGCCAGCCGCGCCTCATCCTCACCATCTCCAGGTGCAACCCAGTAATCTGCGCTTTTGTCTCTTTCTGATAATCAAACATAACGTCCCCAACGATACTGCGGAGGAAATCATGTGCGGAGGTCCCCCCAGGAGAGCTAGGAATGGGATGTCTCCGTGGTGAGGGCGCCCATGAGGCCGACTCCATGGGAGTGACCCGACGAGGGGATATCTGTATTTCCATACTGGATTCCTTCCTGTCTTCTTCCCTCAGGTCCATAAAACCAACGCTGCGCCCCTTCCCTTTCCGGTCCTGGACCGGAAATTCCTTCAATTCGCCGGCCTGGATCCAGCGCTCGACGTCAGGTGTTCCTAGCCCTAATACAGCCATCCCCTTCTTCGCAGGTAAAGGCGTTACCGGGTCATCATGTATATCAGGAAGGTCTGGTGAAGGAGTGCGACTTGGCTCGTCCGAGAATTTGGGAGAAAGGCGTTGCCGTTGCTCTACAACTCCAGCAGCAGGCAGAGGCGGCACGGGTGGGATCGGAGATGGATTGCGTGATGCGGAGGAACCAACGGACGTCTTGGATACACGGGAGCGAGCTGATAGTCTGTCAGATCCAGTCCGTGACACCGAGGAGATGGTTCTGGCTGGACGTGACTTTGTTGACGCCGTTGATATCGATGATTCCGTGCTTGACAGTCGACGGGTGCGCGAAGTCGATGAGACGGTGCGTGTTCGACGCGGAGGCTCGTTTTCTTTGTGCGATGTCGATGGTGCTAGTAGTGCTACCGAGGCTTCACGAGCTGCGGAAGAGGTGGTACGCGTCCGTGACAGAACCTCCGCGGCCTTGGGTGAAGAGACTGGCGATGTTTTAGTGAGCTTCACCGGAGAGCCCGTTGTGGAAGCACTAATCATCGAACTCTTCTTCATCAGCTGCCTCGAAACAGGAGATGCTTTGTCCTTCTCTTCTTTGACAGGCCTCTTGGCAGCCCCACGCATCGTGCTAAGAGATTCAATCTGCACTGCAGGAGCTTATCAGACAAACGCTGCGATAGATAGTAAAGCAACCAACTTGAGATATCTTCGTTAAGACTAATGCTATTGCCAAGTGGATCTCGCACTGGGGAGAACACTTTCTTCGTTGTTGACCCTGCGCTGCTTTCCTTTCTTTGCAAGGAAACAGCTGACGATTTTCGTGCGACAGAGGGTTCTCGGCGGCCAGTTGATACTCTTGCCACTTTCCTGGGAGAAGGAGAGGGTGGAGCGGCTGGTTTTACGGCTGACGCCAGACGTCCGCTCGCATTGGTGGTCACCTCGTTAGTGGCTTTTGCCACTGAAGGATTCATCTTAGTTTCTGGGGCTCCTTTGACCTTTCTCTGTTGCAATCACTGTAAGCACACTTACAGCACGTAAAACACACCAACTCACCTGGACGCAGAATGCCTCCACTCGGCAGCCACTGTCACTGACTGCGATGCTCTTTGGTGTTTTATCCAGAGCCCGCAAGTCTAAGATAAGTAACTTTCCCGTTTCTGTTCCGACATAGATGGAGGCTCCTTCGGGGGAAAATGAGATGGATGTCAGGGGAACTTTGAGATTTAGAGTTCGGAAAACACTAGGGCCCTGTTAGTCTAACACAGCTGGCAGCAGTAATTTGAACGCACCCCTTCTCTTTCTCAAGGTCCACAAGCCCAACATTGCCGCCTGATGTGGCGACCACAACTAGTGTTTTACTGAATGGGCTGCATGACACGGAGACAATGTCACCAGAAGACGATGCGTTCATCGGGATTGTCTTCATAAGGCCCGAGGGACGTGTCGTATCGAAAACAACGAGTTGCTTCCCAATACCGAGCAAAAGACGCGCGCGGGAGTGAGCATGAAAACTGCAAGTTCGGATGGATTGGCCTGTTAGTGGCAGTCCGCGGAGCACAGTGTGCGATCCATGAGAGAGGTTGTAGACGTGGGCTCCACCAGCGGAGGTGGATGCAAGAAGGGTGCCGTCATTGGATATCCCAAGAGAAGTAATTGCTGATTTATGAGATTTAAAAGTTTGGACAATCTTCGGTGTTGGGCCACATTCTAGCACATGGACCTTGTCTCCAGCGCTGAATGCGACTGTACATTTGTCTTTGACGGATATATGGGATATATCGGCTGTTCCTGGAGAGGTAAATAGGTCTTCGAGAGTGTTACATGTCGGGTCGTATTTGTGAACGGTTCGCGTCGAGGATAGGAATAGAAAAGCGTTGTCCGTTGACCAGGAGCAGGCAGTTGGAGGCGAGGAGAGGTTCAAGCAAGGATAAATGGAAGAAGGTGACCGTTTCACTGTTGCTGCATCGAGAATAGCAAGAGAATCCGTAACCGCAACGGCGAGCATGGTGGTCCAAGTCGAAGCCAACGACCGTGACTGTGACAAACGCGTCAACTGTCGATCACATGACCGCTTGGTCCATCCTCCTGAATCCTTCCAACACCGTGACTTGTAATTCTCTATCTCTCTGGAAGTCTTCCACCTCCCTGATTCCCAACGATCCAATTGTATCCCACGGCCACCCATAAAGAAATAGATATTCTACCGTCACGACTACTCATTACGACCTTATCAAATGAGATCAACAAACGAAGATGACGCCATTAACCTTATATTTGGTGGCGGTCTCGAAATCGAACAGGAATTATCTGACATTGAGAATGAGATCGAAGAGCTGGATGCAACACAGAGGAAAGAGAAGTCGGAGCGACCATCAACCTATGTGCGCGTAATGGAAGGTACTGCACTATCAAACATTTCTGGACGTGATTAATCTTCCTTCGCAGATATGATCAACGAAGTGGATAGCTACGAAGGGCACCTCTTGAGTGAGGATGAATGGTGTTTAATCAGGCTTCTGGGGAAGGAAATGAAGTGTATGCCATTTTCGTCTGCCGTTCTCCATTGTCCACGTTTGAACGACTTATTAGACCCTGCCAGATATCTTCTTGCGCGGCTTCTGTGTCGTAAACAGAACCGGTGGCACTCCTTTAATGCATTGCACCGCTATACGTCAGAAATTGGTGAAGATGGCATCCGTCAGGCTATCGCCGATCTTTCAGCTGCGCTACTAGAGCCTTCAGAGGAGGCAGAAGTCAAAGTCGAAGAACCAGAAATCATAGACTTGACTTTCGACGAAGAGGAGGAAGATGACCGTGAACCTGTAGCTGGACCCTCTCGGCTTGCTACGCCTCAGACGCAGAACACGGACGCCGTGTTTGAAGCGGTGGTCGAGAATCTAGACCTCACTTATTTTTGCAAGGACGAGTCGACTATGACACTCCGCGAGATTCTCGAAACACTCCCTGCTGATCACCTCAGAGCGCTTGTGAAGGAAACTAGAGTTGGTCCGAAAGGAACCAAGGTACATTCAACTGTCTACGTCACACCTCATTGTAGCTGACCCAAAAACCTAGAAGGAGAGCCTCGTAGATGCTCTCATGAAGTATTCTTCTACACAGGCTTCCCTTCCGTTCGAGTCGCCCAAGAAGAAGAATAGATCTAGGAATAATGAGCGGTACGATGATGGCTACAGGCAAACTGTTTTGTGTTTTGCCGTACCATGTAAGGAAACGCAAGAGCAGAGATTGAAGGAAATGGCACTGAAGAAATTGGGTATACGATTCCTCGTCTTTGTTTGCTCCTAGACTTACATCCCATACAGGCAAATGTATTCGGCTCAACTATGACTTCTTTCAACTCGTTCGGCGATTTAGTATTATTTTTTATCGATCGTGAGCTGCATCTTCATTTTCCCAAGATCTTTGGATTGATGTGTCTGTCCAGTATGCACTTGCCTACTGACATATTCCTGCCTTCCCTCCTTAGCGAGTTCAAGAAGCGTATCTATCCTAAATATAATGCCACTCGCACTGGGCAGATATGGGAGTCGCGTGACGCGTTCTTGCAATACGAAGAAGCGTTATACTTTGAAGCAGAGCTAGAAGCAATACTCGAAAGTGAGGGAAAAGAGTTACGAGCGTCGACAACGCCTAAACGTGGGATAGCGACACCGGGAAAGACGCCACGTCCCGGCAAGGGCAAGGCTGACGATGATGAAGACGTGGACGATGATGGAGATGGCGAAGCGGAGTTGACGCCTCAGCAGATGGTGGCTAAGGCTGTGAGAGAAAGGGTGATGAATACCATCCTTCCACGCTGGCGGTTTTGCGTCGCTGCCAAACGGGCGGTCAAAAAGGAGGGTGTTGGTGAGGATCCAAGGCCTGGACTAGACCGCTTTGAACCAGGTAAAGGGATATTTGTGTCAATGCCTCATGTCGGGCTTATCAGCGAGACTAGGGTACATCTACACCCGAATGGTGGAGAAATATGCCCGAGCGCTTGGCCAATTGAAGGAATACGAAGCTGAGGTGGAGACCCTCGACGAGTTGCTCGGCCAGCGGTTCTGGCGTAGAGGAAAGCGCGGATCGTGGTATGATAGGCGGGCGCTGGTTGAGATCATGTATCTTTCCAAGGTGGAGGGTAAGAAGTCAAAAAGCAAACCCAAACTACGGGTAGCGATGGAGCATTTGAAAGATGCGCTGCGGGACGAGGACACGCATCTTAGTAAGTCTCTTCTGATCATCATCAAGTATACATGGCTGACCGCGATGTCGATAGTTTGTCGCCCGGGTCTCTTCAGGCGACTACAGAAGGTGGAGAAGACACTGAGGGTCCCTGAAGAGCAGAGATCGCGGTGTGAAGGGGAGCTTAAGGAGCCCGAAGTTGTTGAAGTGCATGCTGAGCGCGTCAAACGCAGCAACCAGAGTCTTCAGCTTGACCAGTTTGGCAGACTAAAGGGGAAGGAAAATGGCGTACCAGGGTCTTCCTGGACCAAAGATGGCGGTAAAGCGCCCTCTTGGACCGGAAAGTCTCTGTGGCTAGGGGAACGGAATGAAGAGGTCAACGTTGAAACTCGGACACTTCAGGCTTATGCACAACAAGGTTATAAAGGGTATTATTAATTCTCGACTTGTCCCCGACACGAGTACTGATTGCCAAGTCGTGACTAGATTCCACTCTGAGACTGGGATACTCACCACAATTTTTGGACTGTTGTTTTGGGACATCATTTTTGCGGACGTTCCGGGAGCCTTCGAGACCAAGTTTCAAACGGCACCGTTGGATATTGCCGAGGACTCGTTCTATTACGCTCGCAAGGAACTCATACAGACCCGGCTGAGAAAGATCGAGGACGGAAAGGCAGCAGATATTCTGGAGCGCCACGACCGTACTTACCGGGCGAGCAAGACTTGGTGCGTTGGAGTGAAATGGGACTACCCCAAGGAAGATTTGCTGGAAATTGTCCAGGTACGGGTTGCTAAAGTTGGTGGTGATGCGAATATCGTGGCAGACCTTGTTTGACTTTTTTAGTGCTTCAAGGGCGAGTCTCTAGCCACGATCTGCCATCTCTTTTGCGAAGATTACGCGGGGAGAAGCAGTGGCGTGCCAGATCTCATCGTTTGGAAACCCGAAGGTCGCGAGTGTAAATTCGTCGAGGTCAAAGGACCTGGTGACCGACTTCAGGAGAACCAAAAGGTATCATCATTGGTTGTGAGTCCGAAGTGGCCGTTGTTAACTATCTTTTCCGTAGTTATGGTGCGATGCGCTCCAGCAGGCTGGAGTGGAGGTCCAATTGTGTCATGTCAAGGACGTGCACGGAAGAGCGAAGCGCATCAACAGCAAACGCAAGAAGAATGCGAAGGTTGAAGAAGAATCACTCTCTGGGGCTGAAGATGAAGAAGATCGGAATGTTGATGAAGAGGCCGAATATCAGCCGTCGCCGGTGTTGGGCAAACGTTCTGCCGATGAAGACTCGGAGGGGGGGGAGGAAGAACACTATCCCCTAGCGATGTCGCAGCCCAGAACGACCCCGACGAAATGGCCGACGGCGAAAGTTGAGGTGGTCATCACCTCTCCAAGTCCGATGAAAAAGAGACGGAAATTTCAATGCTCTTGATACGGCGGAATAATTGTACGTGTACTTGTTTCCATGTGGTCAGTATGTTTAATGGGTTAAAGTATTTAGGTAAAGGGATGATGGTCAATTGCAGCGACGTTACCATATCTGTACCGTTATACCTCCTGTGCTGCTTCTGTTGTGTACAGACAACAGGCTCCAGCATCGATAGTGTATCTTTTTCCCATTCAGTATGTCAGCCAACCTCTTCAAGTCGAACGCTATCTAGTGCTGATCAATGTCTCTGGATGTCGTCTTCCGGATATGGATCTCCAACATTGTTTATGTATATCCTGCTAAATTTGAAGATACACTGGGCATGGTATCAAGGGGATTCTGCTAACCTTAGTGGCATCTGCAAAATCTTGGGCAATTTTGTGGCGAAAAGGTTTCTGGGGGGTTTCCGGCCTTTTACCCGGTATATGTGTAAAACCGGTTTGATTGAACTCGACGACACTGATGGATAATGATGGAAGATAGGGGTGTAGTACTCTACTGTTTTGTGTATGCTACTACTTGACTGTAGGATTGATTATGGATGGTTTATGGCTATTTCGGCGATCTCGGAACCCGGGATTTTTTTGGGACTGAGAGCCATGAAAGGTTTATAACGAACTCGGATCCTTCTTTCGCCATCAATCATCTCCACAAAACCACCATAGTCTTCTCGTAGAGTGTCAACATCTGTAAGTTGCCCAGTCCGAAGCGGCCGGTTACCGTTTCCTGTACCCACTTCCTCTGTATTCGTTCCTACCTTCTAGCGTTGTCTCGACGAACTCTGCAGCGTGGTTCCAAGTTGTTTCACCCGATCACGTAAATCAAGTTTGGTCATGATTTCTCACGGAGTAGTTGTCCTGGTCATCAAGCTCAAGTAGCATCTGAACTTATAAATACTTGTCATTCTTCATTTAATTGATGGTGCCTGAAGCCTATGCATTCCCCTGTAACTACTATCTCTGACAGTACATAAATTTGAAGCTTGGGTTCCCGGGGCGGTACGTGTATATTGTATTTTTCTCGGACTTTCTGTGGGTCGTTTCCGTCGTCCATTAACATTGCTGAGTCAGGTTGTAACCATATACCGGTTTTTTTAAACTCTTACTTTTATTGATACTTGTATTTCTACAACTGTATTGCGTATTGCAGCTCCTGTGTGCCATCGATCAAAGTTCAGTTACTGCCACCACGACCATCTGATCTCATCATCTACCGGGCATCGCGTAAGGATGAATTGTCGTTGGTTGGCAATCCATTGCGCGTCTGACGGAATAGTGAATCTGTCATGCCTGAAACGGATTCCGGGTCAGACGGCTTATGTATCACAAGTTTGATCTTCGTCATCCATATGCCGGTTTCGGGGCCCAGGACAGCAGTAATGTCAACGCGCGCCTCCGGAAAATCATGATGGAACTTTCACAGCGACCACGTATCTGACTCGGCTCTGATCCATCCCTTTCTTTATTCCCAGCGCTGACTTCCTCGCAGCTATGCTTGGCAAGCTCACGTCCTTCAGCATCGAGGACCTTTTCTCTCAGAAACGACCGCCAGGGCCTCCCAGGACCATTTTCGTCAATCAGCCGCTCTCCGCAGACTATATCGACCACAAAGGAAGAGTCAAGCCCGACCATGTGTATAGCAGCAACCAGGTCATCACATCCAAATACACGGTTCTCACCTTCTTGCCACGAAATCTAATGGAGCAGTTTAGGCGAATTGCGAACCTGTGAGTGTGCCTTGAGTGACGGTGATATCTTTGACCTCTTTACGTTGATGGCGCAGGTTCTTCCTTGGGCTTGCCATTCTCCAATTTTTTCCAAAGTTCTCCACAATATCCCCGGGCGTCGTCATTCTGCCCTTGATCATCATCCTCGCGCTCACCGCTGCAAAGGACGGGTACGAGGATATCAAGCGCCACCAATCAGACAAGGCCGTCAATCAGAGCACCGTCAAGGTCCTCTCCGGCGGAGGTTGGCACAATCCGAATGCGATGAACTCCAAGAGCAAGACTTTTGTCCGAGGTCTCCTTCCTAGCAAACGACAACCTACTCCGGCTCAGATCGCAGCCGGCAACGCGGGATCCAAGAAACATTCGCCCAACGATGACTTTGATGTCGAGTTCGATTATGATAACCCACAAGCCGGCGGTCCATGTTGGAAGAATACCCCGTGGGAGGACGTTCGTGTCGGAGACTTTGTCAAGCTCTCGGACAACCATCCTTTTCCTGCGGATATTCTTATCTGTGCGACGTCGGATGACGAAAACGAAGCTTTCGTGGAAACGAAAAACTTGGATGGGGAAACCAATCTCAAGTCCCGGAATGCCGTTCCCGCTCTGACCCACCTGCGTGATGCCTATTCCTGTTCACGGACACGTCCTTTCAAAGTACAGTGCGATCGCCCAGAAAATAACATGTATCGCCTCAATGCCATGGTTTCTCTGGACGACCAGCAGGCACCTGTGGATATCCCGATGACTCTGTTGCGTGGAACTGTGCTACGGAATACAGACTGGGTCATCGGGCTCGTGTTGTTCACTGGTCAGGATTCCAAGATTGTCATGAACTCTGGTAGCGCCCCTAGCAAGCGAAGCAGAGTTGAGAGGAAGATGAACCCTCAAGTGTACGTGCTTTTTACATTCCTTCGAGCCCTTACTCACCCCCCGAGCAGGCTTATCAATCTTGCCATTCTTGCTGGCCTTTCCACCATCTGTGCTATTGTTGATTCCGCGCTAGAGAAGCATTATTATCCTATGGGAGCACCGTGGCTATACGACGACAACCAAAGCGACGACAATCCGTCCATTAATGGTCTGGTTACTTGGGCGTATGCCTTACTGACGTGAGTGATCAAGCTCACTTTGGCAGCAATACTCTAATGGCTGCAGTTTCCAAGATATTGTTCCCATATCGTTGTATATCTCTATCGAAGTGGTACGGACACTACAGTCCGCTTTCATCTACTTCGATAAAGACATATGGTACGAGAAGACTAATCAAGCTACCTTGGCTCGCAGTTGGAATCTATCTGATGATCTTGGTCAAATACAATACATCTTCTCTGACAAGACAGGGACTCTAACACAGGTGTTTTCATTTGACGATCAAACTGCAATACGCTCGCTGATCGCTCTTTTCAGAATTCGATGGTCTTTCGTCAGTGCTCAATTGGAGGGAAACCATACAAGGGAGATCCGGAGAGCGGTGACCCCGAAGAAGACTCTATATACGAACTCAAACAAAAAGCGCAAACGGATGCTTTCGTATCGGCTTCCACATCTGTTCTTGGTCAGTCTGCAAAGGACGGCGGGCATCGTTTCAGGGATGTCATCCTCGAGGCCGATATCGAGGCCGCTATCTCCGAAGATGCCCCGCCTGAAAGCCAGGCTCACGCTCGTGCATTGAACGGCTTTTTCAGTGTGTTGGCGCTATGCCATACCGTGCTTACCTCTGTTGATCCTGTGACCGGGCGAATCGAGTACAAGGCCCAATCTCCAGATGAAGCCGCTCTTGTCCAGTCCGCTGCCGATATGGGTTACGTCTTCTTGGGACGTGATAAGGAGACGTTATCAATGCGAAGCCCGGGATCAGATGAACCTGAACGGTACGAACTGCTGAATATCTTGGAATTTACCAGTGCGAGGAAGAGGATGAGCGTCGTCTTGAGGAAGCTAGAGAGCGACGATGACCGGATATTCTTAATGACTAAGGGCGCGGATAACGTTATCTTCGAGCGCTTAAAAGCGGGAGGTGATGATCTTAAGGCGGAGACGGAACGTCATTTGAACGAGTTTGCAAACGAAGGACTGAGGACGCTTACCTTGGCTTACAAGGTCATTTCTAGTGAGTCTATGCTCCCATCACTGGCAAGCTATGACAACTAATGATTTTTTTTTTATAGCTGATGAGTATATATACTGGAGCGAACGCTACCATCAGGCGTCTGTTTCCATGGACGACCGTGAAGCTAAAATCGAGCAAGTCTCTGAGGAGTTAGAAAGGGACCTCCGTCTCTTAGGCGCTACTGCCATTGAGGACCGTTTACAAGATGGCGTACCCGAGACAATTGCCGACCTCAAACGCGCCGGAATCAAGATATGGGTTGCTACTGGTGACAAAATGGAAACTGCCATAGGTAAGCAATGTGCGTGTACGGGCAGAAGTCGTCATATCTCATATATCTATTCTCGTAGCCATCGGACGAAGTACGAACCTCGTCGCGCCGGATTCGAATATCATTATCGTACGGGGTGGCAGTTCTAAACCCGTCGAAGAACAGATGAGGAACGCGATGAAGCGCTTTTTCCCTGAAGTCACGGATATGACTCCCCAGGTAGAGCCAATCCCGCGCGAATCAAAGTCGTTCCAACTTGATCGTGATGAGAGACGCAACTCGATTGTTGGTGAAGATGTCGATGAACTTCCTGGTGGTTTCGTTCTGGTTGTTGATGGGGCTGCGTTGACTCAGGTGCTTGCTCTCGATTATTTTTTTTTTTTGAAAAGTTAGTTTATTCACGCGGTTCTTAGGCCTTTGATCATGATAGCAGTAGACAGCTGTTACTTCGGCTGGGAACCCTTTGCGAAGGCGTCATCTGCTGTCGTGTATCGCCTTTGCAAAAGGCTCTGATCGTCCGCTTGGTGAAAGACAACTTGCATGTCATGACGCTCGCCATTGGTGATGGCGCCAATGATGTTAGCATGATTCAGGTTAGTCGCCTTTCACTGTACGAGTATGCTATGGTTCACAGTCAATTAAACTTGACAGGCTGCTGATGTCGGTGTTGGTATCTCCGGTGAAGAAGGCGTACAAGCTGTCAATTCATCGGATTATGCTATTGGCCAGGTATGTAGTTCCCTTCCCCCCTGGGCCGTTGGATTAGCGTAATGACATGGGAGTAAGTTCCGTTTCTTGAAAAAGCTCTTATTAGTACACGGACATTGGTCGTTCGCTCGGAACGGGACCTTGTAAGTCGATATTACACTTCGCGCTTATGGCTCGGACTGATCGTGCGTGACACTAGGATTCTAACCTTCTTTTACAAAAACGTGGTACCGATGGGAATCAAATTTTGGTTCCAGATATACTGCGGATGGAGCGGCACATTGTGAGTTGCCAAGCTGTTGGTGTTTTTTTCTGTTATTAATCTGTGATCGCAGCGTGTTTGATTATGTGTATATCCTGTTCTGGAACTCGTTGTGGACTTTACTGGCCGTTGTCGGGATAGGTCTCTTCGACCGCATCTTAGGTGCGCCGAGAAGCCTTGGAAACCCATACGAGTTTTCTCATATCGCCGTCCTACAGATTCCCAGGCCCTCATGGATTTGCCGGAGCTTTATCATTATGGGCGCAGCAGTTATTGGTTTTCCATGCGGGATTTCTATGTGTATATTCTCGATGGGATGTACCAAGTGAGTGGGATGCGTTTTTCGTGTCTAAATCTGGCTGATTTTCCCTTGCTTACAAGTCCGTCATCATTTATTTCCTCATCACATACGGGTATTTCTCGCCCACGTCGCGGAGTGACGGCTATGATACGCATCTTTATGAGTACTCTACGGTATGTTCCCGGCCTTGACGGGCATTACTGTTTTCTGACCTAGCTCTTGAGACTATGGCTGTTTCGGGCGTTATGGTCGCGAATATATTCACGGGGATGGCGGCATCCGCATGGACTTGGTGGCTTGCATTTGCAGTCTCTTTCGGAATTGCCCTTGTCTGGGGCTTCACGGTGAGTCAACAGAACACCATCTTGGACAATGTATTCTGACGGTAGATTCCTCTTTCAGTATATCTACTCGCTCATTTCACCAGGTAATGCTTTTTTTCTTCATTGTGTCGCGAGCCACCATCTCACCTCGTCATGTTCTAGGCTATGCAGTGACTAACCTCTATGGAAATTATTACTTCCTCAGCGCCTCTGCATACTTCTGGCTCGCCATTCCTCTTACAATGCTGCTGTCGTTGGCTCCTCGGTATATCGCAAAGGCATGGAAATTCGGATTCCGCCCCGACGATTTGGACATCATTCGCTGGGTACGAAAGAAGGACCCTTACCGGGACCTTACTCATGATTCCGAGACTCACCTCGGTATCGGTATGAGAGTGATGAAAGAAAACCGAGGACGACCGACGTCGATTATGTCTCGACGATCGTCGCGCGCAAGCAGCCTGATGACCATCAATGATCGAATGTCCATTGACATTCGGGCGGCTAGTCGGACGGACATGGCTACGGGTCTCGTGTCTGTGGATCGAGGGTTTGACTTTGCGACTGAGGAGAACGGAGTGGCGATGAGGAGAATCCAGACTAATTTGTCGGAACGATGGCAAAATAACCTCGGAGGGGTGCCTCCCGCTGAGGTGCCCGCTTCGAGGAAGGGCAAGCAGTCATCGTCGTTCTCGAATCCATTCCGGCGCAGTATTAAGAAGCTCTCTCTTAGGAAGAGCGGGTGATTGGAGTTGGAGTGTGACTTCTTTTTTTTTTTTTTTTTGGTTTTGTTTATCTGAACTATTTATTTTATTTTTTGCTTTCGTTGTATCAAACAATATCTGTATCAATTGCTCGCATATTCATCTAGGTAGTGGTAGTAATACTAAATGGTCATTTATTGCATGTTCTGTTGTTATTCATTGGTGATGATTTCCAGAGCCGGAGCTGTTCGTCTTTTATATGTTGCGACTGACAAGTCAAGACGTCTTGCGAGGTCCACAAGGGCTGGACGAATTTTCAATAGGCGTACGTGGTTGTTACCTGCACAACCGGTACAGGCGTTTGGAATGCTAAACAGGGAGGCGGGATGTCGACGCCCGGACCAAAACAGAATCCCGGTCTTTCCTAATATGATGAGGTAGGTACCTATGAAGTGTTCCGATCGTCACGTGGACGCGCCTCCAGACGTGTATAAAAGGACGCGGACGTTCGTTCGTTCCCCCCCATCACTTCTTTCTTGCCTTCCCCACATCATCTCCTCATCCGAAACCCCATCCTGTTCTTCACGTGAAAGAACGCGTTGCACGAGGCGATGACTCGACCGCTACCACCTCTTGCGTCTTGGCGGGACTCCCTACCACTGTGACAGCTCTGCTATTTTTCCCACCGTGCGCCTCCGTGTATATGTATGTTCCTGGTTCCTCCCTTCTCTTGTGCTGCACTGCAAGCATCGTCTACGGGTTTCTGCAAAAAATGGAGCACGTCCAGTCGTCTTTCCGGGGCGGTAAGCTTACAGCCGGCTCGCGTGTATCCTCATGGATCCAGGCAAAAGGCCACTGAGCGGAAGACAGCGCGCTGCGTGACCGAGTATTTCTCAGTGGGAAGGAAAGGGTTGGGTCCGTCGAAAGAAGGTTGTTTCGACGCACGTATTTCGACGCTTCCCGTGACTACCCAACAACACCTGAATGGTCCATCTTTCGTCTACTATGATCCATCCTCTATGTAACCTTCAAACGATGGGCTTTGGTTGCCTCGCGCTATCTGCGATGACCAGGACTGCTTTGAAGTTCGCTTTCCCCAGGTCCAAGGTCTGATTGAGGTGGGAGCATGGAGAGCCACACAGGGACGCTACTGCGGTTTACTTCAAGGACTGGAAGGGTTCTAAGCTGGGGATATGCACCGTACGATTACGGATATGATCGTATAGAAATTATTGCCCACCGTATGGTATGGTTGAGACCATGTCCGTATAGGCAGATTTCTGGGGTTAAACTAAGAGTGCTAAACACATCTTTAGGTCGTAGGCCACTGACCTTTATGGCACAAGGTGCCCTTCGGCCGCCGGCAACTTCCTCAATGACCGTATTTGAACCGTATGAACACGGCCGTTTTTTGGGGTCATCACGGTTGGCTACGGTACGGACCTGTATTCATATCCGCCCTGCATATCCACCGTACTACGGATACGGTGCACATCCCTAGAACTCCGATTCTGTTGCAGTCATTCTCGACAACTGAGTTCTCGCGTCAGGCAATGTAGTACGCGTAGGATTTACACTGCTTCCTCTTTCGCTGCCTCGATGTACTACTATCATGTGTGTCCCTGTGCAGACCGCTGTCTCTCATCTTGCTATTCTAGTCTAGTAGTATTACGGTTCATTTTTCATGTTCCAAGTTTTCCGGTTCTGAATCATTCTTTATCATGATTACGTCGTCTCAATTCATTTTCGGGATCTTTGGTCAAATTTTTTTATTCATCCCCTGCGGTAAAAACGGTTTGCCATGCGTCCTTATGTCGTGAATCGATCCCCCTGATCCTTCATCGACATCTGCAAAGGAGATCCCTTGAAGTTCGCACCGTCTGACGTCTTGCTTGTACTTCATCGATTTATCTGATACATCTACCCACTAGTTCACTTATTCATCACTGGGAGAACAAAAGAGTCGTCATGACAAATCATCTGCATCATTTGGCGGTGTCGTGCCACTCGTAGGGTCAGAAACCTTACTATTGTTCTTTCGAAACGCTACGGTCAATTTCATTGATTCGAGCTCGAGAATCAACAACAGCTTTGCTTCAGGATGCCTGCGTACATACTGAATGCTAGGAGTCAAGGCAAGCCAGAGAAGAAATCTTATTCTTACATATTTCACGGTATCGCGAGAGCAATCGTTAGGACCACGGTCAGTCCATACACGAAACAAGAGTAATATCCTCGAAGAGAACAAGGTGAAAATGAAAATTCCAATAAAACAAGGTCGCGTGCCAAATTAGGCCTTGCCCCATCCACGTGGATTAGAGGGCAACAGGCATTACAACATCATTACCGCAGAGCCTTGTTCTTTGTTCTTGGCGTCCTTGAGGGCAAACTCTTTTCTTGGGCACCCGGTTGGTTCAAGATGTCAACAGGAGAACCGTCGGAACACTCTCTTCCCATTCCCATCCACCACGACGTTGTCAGCGGGACCTACAACATTTCCGTAAATCTGAGCGCCATCGGTTCCACCTTACTATCGATTCCCACTCGGCTGCTAGCAAAAATACGGAAAGTGGACGATATGATTGCTGAAGATACTCCCATTGCTGAAGCTGTTACCTGGACGTCGACTGCGGCGGCGGCAAGTAAGCCGAGTATATCCCTGACAGCACAGTCGTTCCCTGGCCCTTGGGCTTTCTTCACGTCGGCGTACATGCTAGGGCTCTTCGCTATGGTAAATCGTATTGCTTTTCATTTGGTCGAGCTGCTTCCCACTGTCGTTACAGGCCGTTCTGATGCATCGCATCCAGAACATCGTTGTTCCCACCCGGTTTCCCAACGCCTCTCAGCTTAACTCTCAGAGGCGACGACGTGTATCGCTAAGGCGAAGGCTTTACAACGCCCTCCTACCCATGGATGTTTCTCGAACAAGTACACGTCTCGCGCTCCATATGCCGTCCTTGTATTATATGTGCAAGATGTTATTAATGTGGACTCTCCTTCTCCTCAAAAGTGCCGACCTTTGTCCCGAATACGAGTCTGGAACGATGCATGACCTACTCCGGTGGAGTGAACAAAGGGAGATGAACCAGATTGCCTGGTCCACGTTTTGTGCTGTGTGCGCTGCATTCTGTGTAGAGGGATTCGTCAAGGGCCTCGACGGAGTAGGGGTGGGCATTGGGGCGCATATGCAAGCGAACAGTTCCCCCTTCAATCTGGTGCGTGATCTCACGATGTGTCTTATCTGGGCTCACCTTCCGTAGGTCGGCTATGCGTTTCTTCTTCATATCTATTCTTCACCGATCACGCACGTCAACAAACCAGAAGGTCTGCCTTCAAGACCGGACAAGCATGTCGTATTCACCATTGCGATTCCTCTCCTCCAGCTCACGGTCTTCCACATCCTTTCGATCCGAAAGCAATGGTCGACCCACCGCCTCATTCCTACCGCCCTTACCTCTATCTTGTCATTGATCCATTTCCATATCACATTACTGATGCATTCCTACTCATCTCTTCCCCTCCATTCGTCGGATAAAGATATCCCCTCTTCATACTCCAGCCCAAATGGCACCGCCAACTATCCCCTGCTCAACTATATACCCAATTTATTCGAGACTATGCTTCTGATCACGATAGTCCTCACGATATCCCTCAATTGTCTTACGCAGCTCGTTCTCACTGGGAGCATTACCCGACCATTATTAGGTCTTGGTCTTGCTGGACGCAGCACTAGTGCGTGGTCATGGTCACCCAACTGGGACGAAGACTTTGGCGTGCTCATCTTGCGCGTTGGTACTGCGAGTCTGGAAGCCACCGGAATGCGTGGCTGGGGAAATGAAATGGGGACAGTCGTAGCTCCGAAACGAACCGTTCCTGTCCATGCTGAAATCGAGTACGGGACTGTGGCGATGAGCAGATCCGGCGCGATAACCGTGATCCCTGGATCAGTTGCAGTTCCACCATCAGGAAGGAATAGAAACAAGAGACGCACCATGTGGGGGTGGAAAAATGAGATTAGAATGGTGCACGTTCGAGAGGAGGAGGCCCCCTCAGGAGGAAGCGTGGGTATCCCTGGCATAATTGGTGTGAGCCGGCTGTGGTTGAGGGAAGCGTGGAGATACGTGAAAGGTGTTTGTAGTGTGGGCGGGACCGCTTTCAAAATGTTTTGGGATATTATTAGAGGAAGGAAGGTGAGGAATGTTTGGATGGCGCCACCACCTAGCCGCCTCGAAATCATGAATGACCGCGGCGTACACGATCTTGTGGAAGACCTAGGGGGTGGCGATGATCTGTATGATAGGTTTGTGAAAGGTGACGAACTTAGTGATGACGATGACGATGACGAATGGGATAACGAAGATGCTGCTTCAGCGTCTTCAGATGAAGAAGATGAGGACGAGGAAGACGAGGAGAAAGATCGAGAGGCCCTTGCGCTGTATGCCGATTTACGTGCGAAGGAGTCGACGCCGGGGGTTTCGTCGACGACGCTCTTGGCACACATGACACACACTGGCGGCTCTCCCCTGACGCGACGACGATATGGTGCATTGCTGGACGGAGAAAAGTCTGCTCATTACGGAAGCGTAGTCGACGCTGATCTCAGTCCGGGCTGTTCGTCGGTCTACCTGTTGCTTATTCATATACTCATTCCATTTCCTTAGCCTCTAGCACTGCAAAGAGCGACGATTTATTATCCTATGATGACCCTAGACAAAACTGCGTCATTTGTACGACAGAAGTACGCGAGATCATCTGCTGGCCTTGCAGGTTTGTCTTGTTTTTTTTTTCCCGACATTTATGCAACTTTCCGACTTGGTCCGTCAATTTCAGGTGTCTTTCGATGTGCGATAACTGCCGAGAGAGTCTGGCGTCGCGTTCCTCTTCCTCTAAACATCGCTGTCCTTGTTGTCGACGAAAGTGCGTAGCTCTGTTTCCTTGTGATTGTCATGTCTCCTGACTGCCTCTTCTTTATAGCGTGGAAGGTTATTCAAGAATTTTCATCCCTTAGCTCGCATTCAATTGTATTATTTTTACAACGGTCTCTATCTACCTCGGAATGTGTATTGATTTTCATACTTCAGCGGCGTAATAGACTGCCGGCGCTGGTAATATATTTCTTCTGGTAATAATTCCTTTTTTTCTTCCCCGTTGTCTTTGAACGTCCTCCAGAAACCTTTTACACCCTTACTTTGCCAAACGCGGACCGGGTCGCTATCTCGGGCACGTGCGCTCGCAATTGCTCGTTACCTTGTGTTATCGTTCCCATTTACGGCTTCTGGAAGTTCTTTTGCGTCGTTTGAGAAGCTGATATATGCTTTTTCCTGCCGATTTGTTTCGAGCATGTGTTTTGTTGGTGATGAATTCAAGTCTCCTCGTGACGGATGTCCTGAACGTGCGATGTGGAACCTTTTCGTCTAGAAAAGTTTGCCGCGCACGAGAGGGCTATAACTACGTGATGGGGGGACAATTACGTTCAGCTGGTCGACAATGTTTTCCCCCAGTGTCTGGAGTGTCGTCCTTGTCTCGTCTCTATTTGCGCGGTTCACTACCGCAGATACTACATCAGGGACCTTCTCCTTGTTGACTTACAATGTCGCGGGTTTGCCTGGTTAGTCGTTTCCGGTTCCTCACACCTGTCGATCGCGAATTTAAGCCCTATATTGTATACAGAAGGACTCTCATCTAGTAATCCTGCAACGAACACGCCGTTGATATCAGAGCGACTAGGCCCATACAATGTCATCAACGTTGAAGAAGATTTTAACTACCATGCTGAGCTTTATGCAAACGACAGTCACCCATATCGCACTCCCACGTCGGGTACTTACTGAGTTTTTCTATTTTACTGGACAGAAAGTATTTGCTAACTAACATCCATGTGTTCAGGTGGTGCAGGCATTGGTTCTGGCCTCAACACGCTCTCCGACTTTGAATACATCGACTTGGAACGCACGACTTGGGATGAATGTTATATCGATTCTGGGGACTGCCTGACACCCAAGGGCTTTACCCTGGTGCGTATCCGCGTATCGGCAGGTGCCTGGATCGACTTGTACAACCTCCACACCGACGCCGGCGACGAAGAAGGCGACCTCGAGGCCCGAGCGGCGAATATTGCCCAACTTGTTGCGTACATGGATACGTGGTCTGCAGGCATGGCTGTCATCATCATGGGTGATACCAACTCCCGGTACACCCGCGAGAGCGACTCGGAAGCCCTACACGGGATGATCGACGACACAGGCTCCACCGATGCGTGGATTTCCAACATCCGCGGAGGCTCATACCCCGCCGAAGGCTCCGCTGCTCTCGTGTGCGACTTCCCCTTCCCCAACGGGACCACCCAGGCCGAGATGGTCTCGTGCGAAGTCGTCGACAAGATATTCACCCGCCCGAGCTCCATCATCGCGCTCTCCACGACGTCTTTCACCAACGAAGACGACAACTTCCTCACTGACGACGGGGCGCCGCTCAGCGACCACTACCCCATGTCCGCCACTGCCTCCTGGTCCCTGTCCTCCTCACTCCGTCTCTCGGACCCCGCGGGCGGTCCGCACGGCGACCCATTCAACGACATCGCCACGTCTCTCTCAGGCGACGTGCCCACCCTCACATCTATCACCATCCGTTCCGGCAGCCGCGTCGACGCCGTCTCCTACGACCTGGCGTACCCAGGCGGGAGCACGAGCACCGTCTACCACGGCGGGACCGGCGGCGACGATAACACGCTCTCTCTGGGGGACGGCGAGTACATCACGCAGATCACTGCGTGCAGTGCCAAATACAATGACCACACGCGTGTTTTCTACCTCGCGCTTACGACCAATGCGGGAACCGTCTTGGAGGGTGGGGTGGCTACGGACGACTGTCTGACTACTGTGGTGCCTACCGACGCGGGGAGTGGGGGCGAGTGGGGGTTAGTTGGGTTCTGGGGGAGATCTGGAGACGAGACGGACAGACTGGGGGGTATTTGGGGTGCGGTGTACTGAACGTATCACTCACTCACTCACTACTCTATACAGTCAAATTCTTACCTAAATAGTTGGGACTTGCACTTTTATGTTATGTTCATTACTCGATGCCCGTCCGATACAAACTACATTCATTTCATTCCGTCAGAAAAAGATCGTGACCTGGGACCACCTACGATCCCTTTTGTAAAATATACAAATGCAAAATCTCGCCTCACCAGTGTAGGTACGTGGTAAATAGTTAGTGAGTATGACGGCCCCCTCCTTCCGCAGTAAGATCGTGATAAACAATGCCAATAAATGAATGCAGATGCGACAACCGACCGACCAACCCGATACACGACCCTCCACCAAATCATGCTTTTGTTTTTTCTCTGAGAATGGGGTGTAGGAGCTGCTCGTGCAGGGCCTTGCCAGCGGGGACCTGCCAACAAAAGAGTGAGCCATGGACGAGGACATATCAAAAAAAAGAAAAGAAAAGAAGGAAGCATACCATAGGGAACACATGCTCGTTCCTCTCCACCAAGCACTCCATCAGCACAGGTCTCGAACCGTCGTACTCCAAAAACTCTTTCATCTTCGCAGGCAGTTCCGCAGCGGTATGACAGCGTAAGGAATGCACGCCCATGGCCTTTGCTAGCATGACAAAGTCGGGGTTCGTCATTCTCGTGTGCGAGTACCGGGCGTCGTAGAACAGATCTGAACAAACACATCAGAAAACAAAGGCAGGGCAGGGCAAGGGCAGGGGGAAAACCGGGCCATACCTTGCCATTGAAGGACCATTCCCTGGAACTCATTGTTCAGGACAAGAGCTTTGACACCAATGTTGTACTGCGACGCCGTTGCGAGTTCCATGGCAGTCATGCTGAAGGAAGCGTCGCCGTCGATGTCAACGACGGTTTTTTCGGGTGCGGCAACCTTGGCACCGATGGCAGAGGGAAGACCGAAGCCCATGGTCTTTAGGGAAGGGAAGGGAAGAGTCAGTAACGGGAATCCAATACGACGAGGGAATATCGACTTACTCCTAGACCTCCAGAAGTGATCAGTTGACGAGGGTACTTCCAGCGGTAGTGCTGAGCGGCCCACATCTGATGCTGTCCGACACCGGTAGACACAACGACGTTCTCCTTGTAACTCGACGTCTGCCTATCCAGCTCTTCCACAACCTCCTGCGGCTTCATTCTCGCGCCAGCCTCGCTCTTCACATACGTAAAGGGGTACTTCTCCTTCCACTGCTTGATGTCCGAGAACCACTGATTCCTGGGTGACGGCGTGATCAGAGGAACAAGGGTGCCAAGGTTGGCGACGACGTCTCCGAGGATGGGGATGGATGCTTCCACGACCTTGTTGATGTTCTTCGGCATGATCTCGAAGTGGATGATGCCGCCACGGCCCTCGGCAGCAGCAGCACGGGCAGCCGGAGCGAACGTGTCGACCTTCCCCGTCACACGATCGTCGAACCGGGCACCGAGAGCGATGATGACATCCGCTTGCTGCATCGCAAGGTTGGCGTATGCGCTTCCGTGCATGCCAAGCATGTGCAGGCTCCGTTCGTTGGACTCGTCGAATGCGCCGAGTCCCTGCAGAGTCGTCGTCACCGGGATGTTACCCTGCTCGGACAGCTGACGGAGGAGCTCGGGGCCCTTGGGTGATGAATGGACGCCGTTCCCGGCGTAGATGATGGGGCGTTGGGCTTGGTTTATGAGGGCGGCGGCTTGGCGGATGAGAGCGACTTCGGGGGGTGGCTCGAGCGATTGCATGGGGTTGGCAGGCAGGCCGAGGTTGGTACCAGGCATCGTGGCCTTGTATGGCAGAGGAGTGTGGAGAATACCGGCGGTGATGTCCTTGGGCAAATCAACGAGGACGGGGCCAGGTCGGCCGGAGGTGGCGATCTTGAACGCTTCGTTTATTCTCCGAGGCAGCTCTGAGATGTCCTTGACCATGACATTCCATTTTGTGCAGCTGCGAGATATCCCAAGGACGTCGGCCTCTTGGAACGCATCGGATCCGATCACAGATGTCGCAACCTGCCCTGAGAACACGATCAAGGGTATGCCATCACTCAAAGCGTCCTGCATGGCAGTAACAACATTTGTCGCTCCCGGTCCTGAGGTGACGAGGACGACGCCTGGCTTGCCGGACACGCGTGCGTACCCTTCAGCCATATGTCCAGCGCCTTGCTCGTGCCGGGGGAGGACGAAGTCAAAGTGCGGAGAGTTGTAGATGGCATCGAAGACAGGAAGAATGGCGCCTCCAGGGTATCCGAAGATGTGCTTGACATTATGGCGCAACATCATCTCGTGGAATATCTGTCCACCTGACAGACCGACAAAGGTGTGGTCCTGAGGTGCATTTGGATGGGGACCAGGACCGTGCATAGGGAGGTTGACATTATTTTTTGGAGGGATCTGGTATAATCCCGGTGTGGATACAGGTCGCCTATGCGACAATAAGACTCCTCTCTCCATGAGAAAAAAAAAAAGAATTTAGTTGAGACGTACACGGCGGGTGCTAGCTCTGCTTTTTGGTTCGTCGACCGACTAATATTCCGTGCACGCTCGCGCACTCTTGACTTTGCTTCGAGCATCGAATATCCCGACACAGCTGTCGAACGACACCGAACGAATCTTGGGGCTGCCGGTACGCCCTTTGCGCGCATGGTCACAGGTAGAGACATAGCCACTAGAAAAAAAAAAAGAATGGAGCACTCTTCACGGCCAAGGAGAGAAAATTAGGGAGTGGAGAGACTCTGTAGTGACTCCCAGGAGCTTTAAATGGTGGTGGTCAATGAGAGAAACTCCTCTTTTTCTGACTCGGTAGAATTTCATCGGCCGGCCGAACATATCCGAGACTCCATCGTCCCTGATTCTTCCTCCAAATCTGACCAAAGTGTTTTTTTTGCATTCCCCAAGCCGGTGCAAAACCGTTACCAAAATACCGGTTCAGAACCTACCTGTTTGGTACCAGGGAATTTATCCACTACTTAGTTTCGGGGCAAAAATTCCCTTGAAGGATTTGACCTCCCTAAAACGATACCAGTGTCTCAAGCTCACTCTGTCTCACGACGTTCCCTTTTCTTCTTCTCGTTCTCGGACGCCGCTAAAAGAAAGTCACAGTCATTGAAGACGGTGCATGTCAGTATTCCCTATTAGTTCGTCCTAGATGCATGGAGCTTCCTCTCATCGCTCCGAACCGATGAGCAGGGCACTTGTCTTGTTACTGTCTGGAAAGCCCTGGTTCTTTCTTTGGATGTCGGCGACGGACCATCCGATATGCACGGAACGGACGCCGCTTCCCCGTGAGGAGGTCTGGTCAGAGCGGTGGGCTTTCGATAGATAGATCGACAAAACCGCCTCAGGAGGATTCTTTTAGTGCTACATAGCACAACAAAATCCACATCTGTACCGTTTATGGTGTAAATGAAGAACCGTCCGTGCAGTGCACCCGCATCCGCCATCTGGTTTTCCAGCAGTATATCTTCTTCATCCATCAAACGTCTCACCTTGCGCGACTCTATGAACCCACCGGCACCCTTCGTTCGTCTTGGCTCCGTTCAGTGTCTACGCCGCATTCCTTTTTCGCTCCACCGAATATCAGTCGGGTGGAGCGGAGTGTTAGGCTCCCCGAACGTACTGAGGGGTTATGCACGATTATCTTCAAACACAAAAAAACGTAGTTCGTAAGAAAAGAAAAGGAAAGGAGGGGCTTTCTGATATGTCGAATACGCTACCAGTGCGCGCAGAATTGAGAGAGATGATCCGGCTGCTGGTGATGGAGCAAGTATCGTAGGAAGTAATGGGACACGACGACGACAACCTCACCTGATGATGACGATACGATTTATTTGTCAATCCCAGACGGTCTTCAAGTTTCGAGCCAGGCTCGCTTCTCGATTCTTTGAAAGAACACGAGAGCTAGAACTGATAGATCGTCGGGTTCAGCTATTTCGCGACACGGAGGGTGAGTCCGCGCGCTTTACTGTACCAGTCCGTTGATGGAACGAAACCATTGTCAGTATTCACAGTACATGACGCACACTGGCTCCAACCCGCGCCGAAGAAAGATCCATAGCATAGTTGATTGCCCTCCGCCATACACATAGTGCCACGACGCTCTACAAAATAAAAAAAAGGCAAGGAGGGCTCTCTGATATGTCGAATCCACTGCTACGCGTAGAATTGAGAGAAAGATGGCCCTGCCACCTTCGCCTTTTCTCTTTTCTTTTTTTTTTTTCACAGAAAACAGAATGAAGTATTCGTTCTTGTCTGCCGAGTCGCTTGCTTGTCTGATCAGTTTCTCTAAATAGCATTAACCACGGAGAACCTGACATTACCTCAAATCAAACCCCTTTGCCACGTTCGCGTATCTTCACTACTTGGGTTAGGTCATCCACCTGAGAATCTGCTCGTATCATCACTAGTAAGGATGCCTAATTAAAACGCCAGCTGATTAACGTGGATCTGCACGCGTTCATTTTAGGTTCGGAAACACCCGTTCCAATACGAGTGGCTGCGATGTACGGTTTTTATGTGTATACATAACGTAACGATGCCGTCTGGCGGTCTCGCAAATCAACTTGCGACGCTATGCATCAAAGTTCATCAACTTACGTCATGTAGTAGATAACTAAATGCCCTGGCTCCTACAGCAGGTTCATATCGTATATATAACGTACCGCTTTGTCCTTTGGTATACTACTATAATTTCCTTTCTCAACGGCTGAATCCGTAGCGGTACGATGACCACCCCCATGAGCCAATATATGAAGCGTGTTATGTGGGTACATCATGATGGTGATACAACAGTGCATTTACAAATCCTAAGTTTCGTAAAAACCAGAACGTCACGTCAATGTTTAAAAAGGACCGCTTACCAGTACAGTATATATATAAGCCGAAAAGGAAAAGGGATGTTTTTTTTTTTGTTTTTTTTTAAATTTACTACCGAGACTCCCAGTAATACCGCGCAGGTCTTTGAATGTCATGATTATAGACGGAATTCTTCGACGACCTTTTCGCGGCCGTTGGCTGTGGCTGGGAAGGAGGCTTCAAGGATCAGATGATATCTTTGTGGCGCACAACAGGAAGAAGAACAACAACATACCTTCGTTAGATTAGACGGCATCCCATGCTTCTGTTTCCCCCCTTGTCCCAACTGCATCTCCACATCAAGTTGCGCCTGCCGTTGTTGTCGCCTCGCCTTCCTACGAAAGTGGCATACCGCCGTAATAATCAAAGCACCCACAGCAACAACTGTGTGTGTGTTTTGAGAAAAAAAAAAAAAAACAAAAACAAAAACCAGAAAAGCGCGCCACACACACGCATCCTGAGCAAGAAAACTCACCACAGATAGAAATCCCCGCAATCTGCCATGCCGCGTCCAGATGCGTGTTCGCTTGTGGCCTATATATGAGGGAGACAAAAAGGAAAAAAAAAAAAATAATCAAAAAACCAGGAACCGGAAACGAAAGCTCGAGCTCACTCTGACATGGATAGTTAGTTAGTTGGATACTCAGGAAGAGGG